GTATGGTTCCTCTTTTTTTTAACCTGGAGTGTCCTCCTCTATTTGATTTTGACTTAAAGATTTAAGAGATCTTTCAAACCTTGCTTTATCATGCCAAATTATTCTGCTCAGGACCTGGGGAGATAGCTCAGTGGAATAAGTGCTTGCCTGGCAAGTGCAAGGTCCTGAGTTTGATCCCTGGTACCACAAAAAAAAAAAAAAAATTAAAAATTATTCTGCTCAATTTAGGCCAAAGTAAGGTATATTTGTGACTAGGATTTTTTCCAAAAATTCCAATAGACAAGAATATATGCCATCTAATTGCGTTGTCTGCTTTCAAGTCCTAACATTACCACTTACTGATTAATAAACCTCTTTCCTATTCAATTTGTTAGCATACTAAATATATTTTAATTATTGTGAGAACTAAATGTGATGATACCTTGACTGGTTTAAATTTTGTTATGTGTATGAGTTAATTTTTTTTCTTAAAATAACATGGTAACAGTTAAAATATGCATTCCCCAAAGAGTGTAGAACTATTGTGGGAGCTCCCCTTTTATCAAGCCTACATCTCATAAAGTGGATGCACGGATGGGTGGATGGCTGGGTGGTGCGTTGGTTGGATGGATGAAGACACAGGTTCAGATATTGTCACAGGCTATAATGCCCTCTCCAGGAATCAATTTATAATAAAATATTTGTATACAGAGACTTTCTTGGTGTGAGCTCTCTAATCAATTCTATCACTATAGCATTTGGAGCTTTCAGACTGATAACTTTTACCTGTATCCTTCTCTGGAAAATGACCTTGGTTAGAAAAAGCCACTGACCCAAGACTATATATATATAAAACACCTTTACAAACTCTGCCTGAATCCAGGAATTGACTTATGTAGGTATGCAGTGGTACTGCCTTTTCCCCTCAAATTTGGCCAGGTTATTTCTTATCTAGAACATTAGCCTCCACGAAATAATTAAAGACCTTTTATTCTCCTTATAAATAAATAGATAGGTAGATAGATAGATTTAACATTAATAATTTTTGCTGCATTCATTAATAGCATCCTCAAAATAAACAAGCTAGTTATTTTGATTTGTTGTCAATGCATGCAACAGAAAAATATGAAAACACTAATAAGATCTGATTTGTTGCTCCTGCCTCTGCTCCTGCTGAGGGCCCTGCATTAGAGCTCGGTGCTGCTGCATACATGCTGACCTAGGGGGATGCCACTCACACATCTCAGTATTGCTCTTAAAAGAGTTCTGACCTCCTGCATGTCACAAGTGTCTTTGCCAAGTGAATTTGAAATTATTAAACTATATTGTGCATTAGTAATGAGAGAATACAAAAAGGTGGTTTAGATTGTTTTGTCACACCAAAACCTCACTTTTGAAATAATGCCATTTACGATATTAAAACCCAGGGCCGGCCTGATAGCTCAGCAGACTAAAGCACCTGCTTAAGCAGAGCGCAGAAGCCGAGGTTCGATTTGCCCCACCTATGGGACATACAGCAATTGAGACTGGGCGTGATGGTGTGCACCTGTAATCCCAGTGCTTGAGAGGCTGAAAATAGGAGGATCACTGTGAGTCCAGTCTACATAGTGTGACTCTGTAGGCCCTGTACACCCTGTCCTAAATACAGAAAAAAAAATTTTTAAAAAAAACCCCCTAATTTCCCTATGGTTGATTTGGATCAAATCCAACTCTCTTCAAATGTTACTGATAAGAATATTTAAAATACACAATTGTAAAATACCTCCTTAACACCCCCAAAGAGGAAGTAACTCAAGTATATGTCAAGTAGTAAATGAATAAAAAATATACACATGGTATAAAAATGTTTAACAATAAAAAGAAAATATCAATACATGATCTATTGGGGAAGAATCTTAAAAACAGGAAACTAAGTGAAAAGGATAGTGAAAAGCACACACGCGTCATGATTCTACTTATAAGAAATACCCCAAACCGGCAAATTTGTAGATAACATTAGTGTCTTCCCTATGGTGGTAGTAGTGGGGAGACATGGGTGGAGTAAAGTGATTTCTAGTAAATGTAGGGTTTCTCTTGCAAGTGATAAAAAGTTCTAACATGAACTTTTTTTTTTTTTTTTTTCGGAACTGGGGATTGAACTCAGACCCTTGAACTTGCTAGGCAAGCACTTATTCTACTGAGCCGTCTCCCCAGTCCCTCTCACATGAATTTTGATGCTAACTGCCTAACTGTTAGCATAGTGAAGACATTGTATATATTAAGAGGATAAGAAAGATGGTATGGAAATTATGTCTCAATAAAGCTGCTAGCAATATAAGGTCCTCAGAATAGAGAGAAAATTTTTAATCTGGTTTAATGTAACTATTTCTCTGTATATACATAGAAGCTTATGTTGACATTTCATTTCTCAGGAAACCAAGAGAATTTTCTCACTCAATAACATTTTTAAAAATTATTTTATAACAGGATTTAGTGAATAATAATTGTTATTAAGTAACTTAAGAATTGTGTTCTGTGTTTTGTATGAAATTCTCCCTACAACTCTAAGTTAAATGCCTATTCTCTCGGTGCAGATAAGGAAACTGAGGCATGCTATAGCTTTTAGGAGGTCCGTCAACACTTCCTGCCACTTAGAAATCCCACTTGACCATAACTGTGATAAAAGCCAGTGGCAGCCTTCACGAGTTGCAAGAGGCATCTTTTAACATTTAGCAAAGTCCTTTCTAGGCCAAATAATTTATGCTTTCAATTCTACTCAGAAATTGTGAGATTCTAAACAGAGAGGAGGGAGGTGGAGGGTGGAGTGAATGATAAAGGAGGCAGATTTCATTTAATAGTGTACTGTCTAAGAAGATGGATTAGAAACATAAAGAGCTAATAACATTAAAGATTTTCTCTGCTAGGTCATCTCTTGTACATTAATTATACAGAGGAGCCTGCTTCAATGGATACTCCAGCTAGAAGAGGGCCTCCGAAGACAGAGCTTTTTAACTTTGCACTTGAGTTAGGAGATACTATCTAAGAACCTTTAGGGGGCCAGCAAGATAGCTCAGCGGACTAAGTGATGGGGTCACCCCAGGCCGTGCGGCCCCACACCCAGGCATGCTGAGCGGACCACCAAACCTGAGCGTGGTGGCACATGTCTGCAATCCCAGCACTGGGTAGGCTGAGACAGGAGGATCAGTACGAGTCCAAGCTGTGTAGTGACACCACATTAAAAAAAAAAAAAAAAAAAAAGAAACAGAAAAAAGCCTGTTAAGGAGGTAAGCTTATACAGATGACAAAGCTTTTTCCTGTGTGGTGTGGATGTGTTCATTCACTGACCAGTGAATCACGACTGTATAGAAGGGAAAATCACTATGACAGATATAGTCAGATCATCCCTGCGTTAGGTTATGCTGGAGGACATTTTTTATTTTGTTTTGCTTTGTGGTACTAGAGATTGAACTCAAGCAGCATTCCTAGCTTTTATTAATTTTGTGTTTTTGACAGTCTTGCTAAGTAACCAAGTCGCCCAGGCAGGCTCAAATTTGTGTTGCTCCTGCCTCAGATTAGACTAAAATTTTGAATCAAATGCTCATGTAAACTTTTTTTTGTATTTAGTACAGGATCTACAGGGTCTTTCTACACAGATAGGACTCATAGTGATCCGCTGGTTTTCAGCCTCACAGGCAGTGGGATTACAGGTGTGCGCCACCATGCCCAGTCTCAGTCGCTGTGTCAGCAAGCCCCAAGGGCGAGGCCAAAATAGCACACTGGGGATTGAACCCTGGCTGCTGTGCTCTGCCTAAGCAGGCACTCTAATCTGCTCAGCTATCTGGCTAATCCCCATGTAAACTTTTGAATTGTAACAATTTTTGGATGGTTTTATTTGTGCTGCTTTTACATTATATAAGATAATATGACCCTATACCCTCTTGCTAAAGATTCATTATTAACTTTTTTATGATAAATAAAACTGAGAAATTTTAATATTTGTCTATAACTCAATTTAAAGATAGCAATCACCCAATAACTAAGTATAGCAATATTTTAATTTTCCCTAATGTTAAGAATACTGTTTGTTGGGGCTGGAGAGATGGCTCAGTGGTCTAAAGCACCTACTTGAAACAAGCTTGGCAATGCACAGGGACCGTGGTTCATCCCCCAGCACAACATGCCAGCCAGCCCCGCCCCCTGGTGGGCTGAGCTGGCCACACACACACACACACACACACACACACACATAAAATGTTTAAAAAAAAAAAAGAATACTGTTTGTATGTGTTCTTGTACTCTTTTGTAAAATCTACAGTTTTTAAATCAAGGAGGAAATAGGATGTAATTAGCTATTACATAGCCTTACTCACTACCATTTTTCATAGCATATCTAGTTACCATTCACATTTCACCCAATCACTCTACTGTCCTTCTGCCCACCTGTGCATTGGTTCAAAGCTCACAGCCAGGGCCAGTGAGATAGCTCAGCAGACTAAAGCACCTGCTTAATCAGGCTTAGACAAGCTTGGCATCTGCAGTTCATCCCTGGCACCACATGCTGTGCCAGCCCCACCCCCTGGGCTCGCTAAACCGGCCAGAGTCCAGACCTAGTGGCACACACCTGTAATCCCAGCGCTGGGGTGGCTGAAGGCAGGAGGATCCCCATGAGTCTGAGCTGCATAGTGAGACCATGCAACAACCAAATACATTAAAAAAAAAAAAAAAGAAAAGAAAAAAGCTCACAGTCAAAGAAGCATATTCTATTTTCCTAGGAGTCTTCACTCTCATTATTTTGTTGTTAGTTCCCTCATTACCAAAAGTCTTTAAAATCATTTTTTCTAGGAATATGTTTGGTTCACTGGTACTTTTTATTGAGTTCTTCCTTGTCACCTCTAGCTAGATTTTTTTTTTCAGCAAACATTGATGCTTACCTCTGCTGGATCTAATACAATGAATCCAAGGAGTTTATTTAGCATGAACACATGCACACAAGCACACAGATTTAAAAGCAATCAATTTGAACAACTGGGCTTCTCTTGCAGAAACACGATGGCCACTTCACCGTCATCCAGTTGGTCGGCATGCTCCGAGGCATTGCATCAGGCATGAAGTACCTCTCGGATATGGGTTATGTTCATCGCGACCTAGCAGCTAGGAACATATTGGTGAACAGCAACTTAGTATGCAAAGTTTCGGATTTTGGTCTCTCTCGAGTGCTGGAAGATGACCCAGAGGCTGCTTATACAACAACTGTAAGTTAGTGGATTTTTTTTCTATGTAGTTTGTTTACTTTTATAATTTTGAATGTTATTAATTTAAGTCTACTTTTGCTGCCCCAATTTTCTGCTCTGGTTTATGTTTTCTAAATTCATATAATTAAGGACCTAATTTAAAAAATTTTCTTATATCTGATTCTTTTCTTTCTAATGTGCCAAAACTTGAACATCATTCTTGAGATCCTTGTCATGACCACTTTCTCAACAAATCTGCCTTTGCCTGGCATATTTTAATTCTTTAATAATAGAGCTCATCAGAAGCCAATAAAGCAAGCAATAGTAAGGAGTCAATGGTTAGAAAGTGACAATGACTTTTTTATTGCTATAAAATGACCTAGTAATGCTTGAAAATAAACAGTGAAAGTTTCTTTGGGATACAGGAAAGCTTTCTAAACCTTTCTTCAAATAATACTTAAGGGGAATTTGACAAAGAACAATATAACAAATGTGATGTAGGGTATGGGAGGGGACGAGCGGAGACCACAAGGCTGCTGCATGGAGTATACTGTGCCTGGTGCAGGCAGGCTGAGTGAACGGCAAGACCTCTGCCCTGAACAGAGAGAAGTGTGTCCTCTTAATAGGGATGGAGAGTAGGCAGGACATGTGGCAGGAGGATTTTAAGAAGCATCTGTGGTCCAACTTCTGTGACTGTCTTACACCTCAGTGGGAGAAGTCCTTGAAGTGTCTGATGTAAATTCTCAGGGGTTTCCAGATGGGCCCAGGTGTCTGAGAACCTGCGAAATTCCTTGGCTGGTCTTAGCTCCTTCAGGACATCCAGTGCTTGCAGATGACAATTTCAGCATGGGGCTGAACTATGAAGGGAGTAGTGCCTCTGGGGCGGACCCATCGGGGCCTGGGAGCGTCAGGTCCAATAGGTGCCTTACAAATTAAAGGCGAATATTTTAGAACCAAACTATCACCATTAAATTACATAACATCAGTTTGACTCGCAAGGAGTTAGGCTATTCTTGAATGCTCCTAAGCAAGTTCGTTCTGTTGATCTCTCTGCTGCCTTTTATTCAGTCTCAATGCTCCATTCAAGTACGTACAGTTACTCATTCGTAAAATAATGTAGTTGGTTGTTTCTTTAATAAATCTCTCTCTAGGGGGCTGGGGAGATGGCTCAGTGGAATAAACCCTTCCCTGGTAAGCACAAAGGCCAGAGTTCAATCCCCGGTTCCACCAAAAACAAAAAAAATAAAAATAAATAAATAAATAAATAAATCTCTCATAGATTCACTTGACAATCAGCTTCAAAGAAAAATAAGTCATTAAAAACTATTCCAGATGCTTTGCTTCTCTTGTCCTTCCTAACTTCACACTTTACTGTAAAATATGCAATTCCATTATTTGATTCCCTTTTATTTCACTTTTTATTAGTTTTATTTTTAGCTCAGCTATTCAATTATTCCAAAATGGATTCAAGTTTAATATTATGAGTGAAATATATCACCCCCTTATTCTGTTTGGTTTGTAGAAATTCTTATATTAATTTGTCAGAATTTTCACATTTCTTTCAATAAAAAGTATAGTTTTAAGGAAAACAAATTAAATCCTGAATTTGTTATATTAGGCAGCAGTATCTACTGATTTTTCCAGTTAAGTAAAAAGCTTCAAGAAATTAAGTCTACCAAGTATGAAAATAAATTATTTATTTTAGGAAAGACAATATTTTCAGGGGACCGGGGAGATAGCTCAGTAGAATAAGTGCTTGCCTGGCAAGTGACAGGGCTTGAGTTCAATCCTCAATTGTACCCCCCCCCAAAAAAAAGACATTTTCAAGTACATCTTCTAGTTCAAACATATCACAACTGTTTTTAATGCCTTTATATTTTTATTTTATTTTTATAAATATATAACTTGTGACAAGTTTTTAGAGTTCTAGAACAATACACATAATTTTAAGAATATTTTCTGAGCCAGCCAAATAGCTCAGCAGACTAAAGTGCCTGCAAACAGGCTCAGGGGCCAGAGGTTCAATCCCTGGGCCTGCCGTGCCAGCTCCACCCCCAGGGTGCACTGAGACTGCAGTTGAGACTGGGTGTGGTGGTGCGTGCCTGTAATCCCAGCTCTTGTGAGGCTGTAAATAGGAGGATCACTGCTAGTCTGATCTAGTAGTGAGACCCTGTGTAGACCCTTCCCTAAAAATTACAGAAAAAAATAAAAAAAATATTTTTCCATCAAGATAATATTTTAAATTATCAAATAAAGTTATAAAAGGTAATATTTATAAATATGATAACGTGAAATGTATCAAAAGAATAAAACCAGACAACTAACAAATGATTTTCACTAACAGCCTGCAAGATTCACTTGAAGGCACTCACTAAATTCTACTTTAACTGCTTTAAAATGGGCAAATAGTAATTGGATTTAGCATACTAATAAAATTAGCAACACAAAGTTTGATACATACTATATACAGTTTTGTTGGATCAATTTCAACATCTAGACTCTAACCTTTTTCTCTTGTGTGTTAATATGGCTGAGGAGTCTGGAATAGTGATGCTTAAATTTAGACCAGACTACAGAATTAAGCAGCAGATTAGGTTGCCGGAATATTTACCCTCCAAAAAGTGCCTCTAAAATCTATGGATTTTATCCTAATTAGAAATATCTCTAGGGGGCCTGCCAGTTAGCTCAGCTGTTTAAGCACCTGCTTATGCAAACCGAGGTATCAAACAGGATACCTTGGTTTGTTCCTCAGCTCCACATGCCTTACCAGACCCCTCTTAAGGCAGCCTGAGCCAGCCAAATTTAAGAGATTTTTGTTCTTTTATTTATTTATTTATTTATTTATTTATTTATTTATTTGGCTGGTTGGTTGTCTTTTGTTTTGTCTTGTTTTGTTTGTATTTTAGGGAAGGGTCTACAGGGTGTTCAGGGTGTCACGACTAGATCAGACTCACCTGTTTACAGCCTCGCAAGAGCTGGGATTACAGGCACATACCTCCACGCCCAGTCTCAATTGTCATCTCAGTGCACCCCCCGGGGGCAGGGCCAGCATGGCAGGCCCAGGCTTGAACTCCCAGCCCCTGAGCCTGTTTGCAGACGCTTTAATCTGGTGAGCTATTTCACCGGCCCTTAAGAGATTTCAAATAAGTATAAAAAATGTTATTATCTGGTTGTTTTATAAAAGTTTGAGAATTATCTTATGGCTCGCAGAATTGTGAGGTGCAAGATATGCAGTGGTTGGTTCATTTTCCAGTGAACGTGGACATTCAATATACAACACAGGAAGATGCTGCCTGCAAGGATTTTATGCTTTGACAGGCAGACAGACGCATGCTTTCCTGCAGTTCAAAGCACTGAATATTGTCATAGAGGGCTGACAAAATGCACGGACGTACAAAAGAGAAGTTTCAAGAAAGTTTCACAAAAAGATAAAATATGAAGCAAGTTTTACAAATTCACTAGAGAGGGCCGGCCAGATCGCTCATCAGACTCCAGCACCTCCTTAGCTAAGCAGACGCAGGGACCAGGGTTAAACCCCTGCTTGCCGGGCCGGCTCCGCCCCCAGGCACGCCGAGACTGGACGTGGAGCACACGCCTGTAATCCTAGCGCTTGGGAGAGTGAAAACAGGAGGCTCACTACGAGTCTAATCTGTGTAGTGAGACCCTGTACATCCTGTATTAAATATATAAAAATAAAATAAAATAATAGAAATAAAAAGATATCAAGACACTGCCACCGAGCACTAGAATTTGATTGAAACTTTCTATAAAACTTTTTTATATTAATGTACTTATTTTCCAAAATCTTTTTTATTTTCAGTTAAAAGGAATGAGATAGCCAGAAAGTTTTGCTGCCTGCTAAGGACATACTGGTATCACGTGTGAATAGGCTTCGATCTGAAAAGGATTTGTTATGAAAATACGTAAAAACAACTTGAAAAGGCAAATTCCTTTGACACATTAAGAGAAAACTTGATTCAATGTTTTTCAATTTTAACTGTACATGCAGGCGTGGAACGCGTCTTCTATCACGAGCGATCGCGCTGTTTCCCCATCATGTTGCCATCATTTGCATTTCCTCATTATTCATGAACGCGTCATCTATGTCGCAATGGGTTGGAAAGAACGGAGACTGAAGAAGAAGCTGTCATGGACAGTGGCTGTGCTTTGTTTGGTTTATTTTGGTTTTAATCTTCAAGAAAATAATTCTTCGAATATTATGCTGCATGGATGCTGTACCTTCCTAATCAAAATAAGGGCAGAATAAATAGCTATCTCCCACTGACAAGATTTCGCATATTTAAACGGGCTCCTATTGTAACAGACAGCAATGAGGACTAGCTAAGGACGACAGGCTGGACAGCAAAAGTGGCTGGTGGGGCCCCGTGCTGGCCACTGGCTCCTCCAGGCCACAAGTAGCAGATGAGCAGACTAGCGTGGGAGGAGAGTGGCCAAACCAGAAAGTGATGTGAGAAAATCTGGCTTGTGAAAAACTGAGTTAGCCTTTTAGAGTCCTGTTGAAAAGTCATACTGTGATATATGACAGTTTTATCTACATTATCAAAATACAAGTAGGCAAAAAGATGAAACTTTAAAGCAAATATAGCTAGCAATATAAATATATCTTCTTACAGTTTTAGTATTTTGTATCCTCTGCTTAAGGTCTAAGACCTATTTATTTAATTTGCACTCAATGCAGTGTACTATAGGGTTATCATAGTTTGGGCCTGTTCTTTGCTGATTGATTCGAAAAGCAGATTCACTGATTAACAATCCCCAAAAGAATTTTCACTCTATGGAGAATAAGCCCATCACTGTGTAAGCCACCAGAAACGGAAAAGGGTGCCCTCAAGCCCACTGCAGCTAGGCACTTCTATCACACATGACTACTTATTGGCTTGAGTCCAGCAAGACAGAATATACATGTAAGCCACAGGAAGCAGGTTTATCATCAGCAGATATCAGCAAGAAATAGAGAAATACAAATCACAGATCCATCGTGGATATAAGGCTCTAGAAAG